TCCTGGGGGGTGATATGGAATATATGTCTAGTGAATGCTGCAGAGAGTTGCCTACTGCTGAGTATTCTTGGCAATAGAGACGGCACTATTCATTGACTGGATGTATTTGGGTACTGAAGGTGTAATATAGTCCACTTAGGAACTCTTGAATAGTATGGCCTGCATCTGCTTTGTGAATGAGAATTGCTGTGCCATACCTGAATAGTCAATGCCCATAGATATCCTCAAAAGGAAGGTATAGGATATGGATGGTCTATCTGCCAGGACCTGCCAGGTCTGATGCCCAGGCTATATGCCTGGAGTTCCTTTGCCATTTGTATTAGTTTCCTTGGGCTTCCTTAAAGAAGTACCACAAACTAGGTGGCTTACACAACAGAAATTTATTCTGTCTTTTGGAGGCTAGAAGTCCCAAATCAAGGCGTTGAACTCTCTGAAGCCTCTAGGGAAGACTCCTCCCTTGCCTTCCTAGCTTCTGGTTAGATGCTGACAATCATTAGCACTCCTTGGCTTGTAGGTGCATCACTCCGGTCTCTATCTCCATGATCACATGGTGTTCTCTCTTAGTCTAAATTTCCTTCTTGCAAAGATACCAGTCATTGGATTAGGGCCCACATCTTAACTTGATTATGTCTGCAAATGCCCTATTTCCAAATCAGGTCACATTTACAGGTACCATGTGTTAGCTCTTAAAAATATCTTTTTGAGGGACACAGTTCAACCATAACAGTCTGCTCTCTAGCCGCACCCCCAAATTCATGTCCTTCCTACATGCAAAAAACATTCACCAAGTCCTAACATACCCCCCAAATCTTAATTTATTACAGCCTTAATTCTTCTAAGTCCAAAATCTTATCCAAATATATCAACCCCAAAATACCCCAATCCCAACTTCTAAATCATCTAAGTCAGAAATGGGTGAGACTTTGGGTATAGGCTCTTCTGGGGCATAATCATTCTTTGTCCACAGACCTGTAAAACTTGAAAACAAATTGTTCATAAAATACAATGACAGGGGACATGCGGCTAGAGGTAAGGCTACATTTGGTGGAGAGTAGGGGACTTCAGTGTTCTAATGCCCTCAAGAAGCATAAGGTTCTGACACAGACTCTAACCTCTGAGAAAATCACATCTGCCCCACAAGATCCTCATAGATTGATTACATTGAACCTTGATGGGTTGTCAGTGATGCATCACTGCTGTTGACATTTTCACGTTTGGCTCTTCCAGCCTTTGAAACCAAATCATCTCATGTTTTGTGAAATGGACGTTGTACACACCAAGTGGCTGTAACTGGATACTGCTAAATGTATTGTAGAAATTGATATTTTAAAAGACATGTGATATTTCTCTTAATTATAAGGAATCTCCAACAGAGGTACTGGGACAAGTATACGGCCAGGCTCTTCCAGCCCGGCCATGTAATATCAGTAAAGCAGTACAAGACAGAGGGATAGATTAACATCCTGATAAAGATCTGGTAGAGATAAGAGTACTTAACTATTTAGCAAGTTCTATACTATGCTCTCCTACTTGGGTCAATCAGTCCTAATAAGCGTCTTGAGCTACAAATGTCAATGACCAACCACTTTGCACACTAAAGCACCAGTCAGGCATCAATCAAACTTTCCACCTACATGAAGGTGGACATTTACCTCTGTAGACGTGGCTCTCTCCAAGGTTGGAGTCTGTGTCAGAACCTTATGCTTCTTGGGGGCATTGGAACGCTGAAGGAGGCCTGGACTTCAATGATAAACAGATTAGCTAAGTTAAAGGCTGATAGTGCACTGAACCAACATGGCTGTGTTACCACAGAGAAACTGTTATAAACTTTATATGCAAAAGAAAATTCCACCAATAGGTCAAGTTATAGGCTGTGGTGCTTGTCCAGGAAAAAACTCCCCTAAAATACATGTTGCTACATTTTCACGGATTCATAAGCAATAGACAACAGGATGGCAGTGTGCTTCAGTGCCTAGCAGCAGGTCACACACTGTTATAACAGATTGTGTAGGATCCTTTACTCCTATTGTCACCCATGTGGACTCCAATGGAAAAGGATCCTTTGACAATGAATATCACTGAAACCAACAGATGTTAGTTTAGGCTGATCAAACCTGAGCCACCCAGATAAGAACATTGACATCTGGATATACCATCACATGGGATGTGCATCTACATCCCAGTATTGAGACCAAAATCAAAGTTGAGTGATTCAGCCTATGAGGCCCAGAAGCCTGAAAAATATGCCTAGAGTACCAATACCACAGTTGAATGGTGTACTAGTTTCCTAGGGCTGTCTTAACAAAGCACCACAACCTGGTGGCTTAAAACAACAGGCGTGTACTCTTGTGGAGGCCAGGAAAAATTAAGGCCATCCCACCTTAAGTTTAGCATTAGCACAAGTACAGCCATCTTAGGCGCCTTTGAATAAGAGCTGAACTTTACAGGAAAAACTGCAGAATGTTCTCAATGTCCTCGGCAGGGAATCCCATATCAGAAAGACAACGGAGCTCAGAATTGCCCTTGGCAGAAACGAACTAGGGGTGGTGGAGGGGGAGGAGGGTGGGGGGTGGGGGTGAATGGGTGACGGGCACTGAGGGGTACACTTGACGGGTTGAGCACTGGGTGTTATTCTGTATGTTGGTAAATTGAACACCAATAAAAATTAATTTATAAAAAAAAAAAAAAAAAAAAAAAGAATTGCCCTTGGCAGAGAATCCCATATCAGAACGACAACAGAGCCCATGCCCATGGTAGAAAGTCCCATATTAGAATGAGAACAGAGCTCAATGCCCTTGAAGTTGTTTTTTTTTAAATTTTTATTTATTTATGATAGTCACACACACACACACACACACACACACACACACACACACACACACACGGGCAGAGACACAGGGAGAGGGAGAAGCAGGCTCCATGCAGGGAGCCCGATGCGGGACTCGATCATCCCGGGACTCCGGATCACAGACTCCAGGATCACACCCTGGGCCGAAGGCAGGCGCTAAACCGCTGCGCCACCCAGGGATCCCCCTACTAGAGATTCTAAGAAGGAATCTGTTCCATGCTTCTCTCCTAACTCTTGATGGTTTCTGGCAATCTTTGACACCCACTGGCTTGTAGCTCTGTCCCCTCCAATCTGCCTCCATATTCACACGGCATGCTCCCGTGCCTGTTTTGTTTTAACGGTGCCAGTCATTAGGGCTCACCCTAATCCAGGATGACCTCATTTTAACTAATGACACTTGCGAAGACCCTATTCAAAAGTAAAGTCACATTCCAGGGCTCCTGATGGACATGAATTTGGAGGCAAGGAGATACTATTCTACTCTGACCAACTGACAAAATGAACCATTTTATGTTGTAGCCATGTAGTTCACGGTTCCCTAACGGTCCCTGACATGTTTTTTACAGCTTACTCTCTTAAACTGATGCCTTCAACAACCTCGCGTCACACTGCGTCGTTTTGCAGCGCCCCCCGTCCAGAAACAACCAGGTCCCACAAGGCCCTGGGAGAAACCCTGAGAGCGACCTCAGCCCTTCAGGGGAAACTCTTCAAACCGGGCGTGGCGCCAGGGCTTATGGGAAACGTAGGCCTAGGCTCCCTCGCCCGCTCGGCGCAGGGTCAGCGAAAGGGTCTTCCAGGGGCTCCGAGGCTCGCGGCGCACATGCGCACTTCGCTCTCCAGGCGTCTGCCTCGGGTTCCCGCTCTCCGCAGAGGAAATCCTGGGGCGCTCGGGAGGCTGGCGCCGCGCGAGTGGGAGCGGCGGGTGAACCCGGCCGGGTGGGCGAGGGCCCGCGGGGCGGCGGTGGAGAGCAGGCCCGCCGAAGGCGGGTGGGGGCGGCTCCGGGGACGGTCGGCTGGGCCCGGCGCGTGTGCCCCCGGCAGGAGCCGCGCCGCCCGCGTGGGGCCGCAGGGTCCTCGTGGCTGCGGGAGGGGACGAGAGCTCCGGATCCAGGTGGAGCCGGGTGTAGGTTGGTAACTGCCAGCAGGATGCCGAGCCACGTGAGACGAGGTTTCCTCATCTGTAAAATAAGAATATCATATGCCACGTGGGATTGTTTGGAAGGTTAAATTTTTTACACACCTTTTAAAAATGCGTATCAAATCTCAACGTTCGGAACAGAGCTTAGCTGATATTAGCTGTTAAGGTAATAAGGTAGCTATTTGGAAGATATTTTTCCTTGTCACTGGCTAGATTTTATTTAAACCCAATAACGGGGGATCCCTGGGTGGCGCAGCGGTTTGGCGCCTGCCTTTGGCCCAGGGCGCGATCCTGGAGACCCAGGATCGAATCCCACATCGGGCTCCCGGTGCATGGAGCCTGTTTCTCCCTCTGCCTGTGTCTCTGCCTCTCTCTCTCTTTCTCTCTGTGTGTAACTATCATAAATAAAAATTTAAAAAAAATAAACCCAATAATGGTCTTTATGTAAATGTTTTCTGTTTTGGCAAAAAAGGAAACTGAGGCTCAGCCGGCTCAAGTGAAATACTCAAGGGCTCACAGTTCTGGTAGACAACCTTGTCTAAAACCAATGTCGTATTTCTTTAGGTTTCAAGGAAGCAACCTCGAAGTGTGTGAGCAGAATCGCACCCTGTGGTCATGTATTTTGGGATTTCTTGGCATCTCAGAACTCAAGGTCAGAATTGCATAACTGTTGCTGGGACTATTGCACTGTCCAACTTTCAGCATCCTCAGTGGCCTTAGAGTTTAGGCAGGTAAGGTCTTTGAGATTTGGATTCATGAATCAAACTTCTAAATAAATTTTGTCTTTTAAGTCCAGGTTCCAGCCCCCTTGGAAGAAAGCAGCTTTTGTGAAGTAAGAATGAAGGAAGCCCCAGGAATAGGAATCCCACCGTGAAGATTGCTCCTGTGACCTCAGATTTCTCACCACAGCTTTAGAGCAGAGGCAGGAAACTGCTAGTAAGGAGCAAGGCCTTGGTTTTCATAATCTGAAGTAGCAGCTCTTTATTCTGCTCAGAATGAGCATGGCCTCACTTTCCCCATACACAGAGGGTCTCACGATTATGGTGAAAAGTCTGGACCAAGCTTCAGAAAAAATAGGTGAGTGGGACACTGAGAGTAGTGGGTGAGGGGCAGGTTTCATAGAAAATATTAATTCATTAGAGGGTTCATGTCTGCATGGTCTGTAGGGAGAGAGCACTAGGCACAACTGAAGGAACTCTACCTCCAGCCTTAGTAAATATCCCTTGCCTTCAACCTCCACTCACTTTTCCTAGATTTTGACCTGCTCTTCTATGTCCCTTTAGAGGTATACTACAGCTCTATCTACCCTGACATTACAGAGGCATAGAATAGGGTCATCTGTGTCTGCTTAATTTCAGGGCTGAGAAACCTTGACTCTTATCACCAGATTCTATTGCAACTTAGACTTAGTTCTGCATTGGTTCTAAAAGAAACATGAAATTAGTAATGATTAGGAAGTAAACAGTGAAAAATTGCTGAGCCAGGCTCTATGGTTCTTGTCAGAGTCACACATGTGAATTCTCTCTGCACGTGGTTCTTTTTCACTCTCTCAGGAGCCAAAGTACTTACTCTTACAGGGTAACATTTAACCAGCTGGTGGGCATGGGGTTTTAGGAGCTGAATCTCAAAAGTCTGTAGTAGCCAAATATCACATGACTTACTGTTTTCTTTTTTTTTTTTTGACTTACTGTTTTCTTTTCCCATAGCTGTACATTCAACCTTCTCTGTACTTTCCCAAAAGGAACAGAAAAAGAACAAATCCCAGGTGAGCTGCTTTTCATTTCTCACATTGTTTTCCATTGTATAAAACAGTGAAGGATAAAAATGATAAAAGCTATCATAGAGTTAACAGATCTAAAGCAAGCAAAGGTCAACACGTTAATTGTGTGGCAATTTCTTTTCCATTAGTATAAATATTACATGTTATATTATGTAACAGTAATTTTTTTAGTAATTTTTATAACAATAATTTTGTGCAAATTTATCTTTGACACTCTGTCCAAAAGGAAGATGCTTTGATTTGACTAAAAAAATAAACAAAATAATTCTTCATGGAACACAAAGTTTTCCTGGCCTAAAGTCTGAAAAACTTCTTTGCCTTCCTGAAAGTAAGGTAGTTGACAACTGCAGTTAACAAGTCTGAAATCAATGCTGCCCATCATCTTCAACTCTGATTGTTCTTTAGTAGGTGCAGAGAGAAGGCCAAAGCATAACTTAGATGATTCAAGTGGATGATTTTTTTTAAAGATGTATTTATTTATTTGAGGTGGGGAGGCAGATGGAGAGATTCTCAAGCAGACTCCTGCTGAGCATGGAGCCCCACGTGGAGCTCTGTCTCTCAACCCTGAGATCATGACCTGAGCCAAAACCAAGAGTTGGACACTTACTCAACTGAGCATCGAGGTGCCCCTCAAGTTGATGATTTCTTTTGTCTGCTTCACACTATTGTCCTTTTCCGGTTGCCTTTTAGCAAAGCTTATCTTCATGTGATTATCTTTGGTCCATTATAGTTCTTACCTTTTTTTTCTTGACTGATTTCATCATCTGTGGATTTTTTTATAGTTAAAAAAGGATGGACAACCACCCAATTTGAAATTCAAAAGCTGAATGTTATGCTTGTTTAAGTGAGAGCTATTGCTGGTCAGATGTATTCCTACTGAGCAAAGCAAACTGTTGATTTTCTATACGGTTTTGGCAAAGAGTTGGTGTATTTGTTTCCTGTGGATGTTATAACAGGTTACCACAAATTTGGTAGCTTAAAACAGCAGAAATTTATTTATTCACGTCATGGAGGCTAGAAGTGTGAAATCAGGGTGTTGTCAGGGATGTGCTCCTGCTTAAGCTTCCAGAGGAGACTCCATCCCCTATCTCTTTCAGCTTCTGGTGGTTTTGGGGAGAGAGGCAGGAGAAAGAATGGAGGGAATAAAAACTAAGATGAAGAAAAATAAATATTTTGTAAGCCCTGTATCCATGTTCCCCAGAGAAACAGAACCAATAGGATGTGTGTGTGTATGTGTGTGTGTACAGGTAGCATATAATATAGATACATAAATACACATAGTATACATTTGTTTTATGGAATTGGCTCATGTGGTTGTAGGTGCTAGCAGATCTAAAATTTGAAGGACAAACCAGCAGACTTGAAACTCAGGAGTTAATGCTTCAGTCTTGAGGCAGAATTTCTTCTTTTGAGGGAAACCTTAGTTTTTGCTCATAAAGGCCTTCAACTGTTTGGATGAGGTCCACCCACATTATTGAGGGTAATCTATTTAAAATAATTGATTGTAGATATTAACCACATCTAGAAAATACTTCATAGCAATACTTAGACAAGTGTTTTATGAAATAACTGGATACTGTAGTCTACCAAGTTGACATACAAAACTAACTGTCACAAGCCCTTTTTTTTTTATAAATTAATTTTTATTGGTGTTCAATTTACCAACATACAGAATAACACCCAGTGCTCATCCCGTCAAGTGTACCCCTCAGTGCCCATCACCCATTCACCCCCACCCCCCACCCTCCTCCCCCTCCACCACCCCTAGTTCATTTCCCAGAGTTAGAAGTCTTTATGTTCTGTCTCCCTTTCTGATATTTCTCACACATTTCTTCTCCCTTCCCTTATATTCCCTTTCACTATTATTCATATTCCCCAAATGAATGAGAACATACACTGTTTGTCCTTCTCCGGTTACTGTGGCCAAGTTCAAAAAGGGTGTTGCCTGAGTTCTCCTCTGGGATTTTGATGGAATCTTGTCTCACATTTAGATCTTTCATCCATTTTGAGTTTATCTTTGTGTATGGTGCATGAGAGTGGTCCAGTTTCATTCTTCTGCATGTGGATGTCCAATTTTCCCAGCACCATTTATTGAAGAGACTGTCTTTCTTCTAGTGGATCGTCTTTCCTCCTTTATTGTATATTAGTTGAGCATAAAGTTCAGGGTCCACTTCTGGGTTCTCTGTTCTGTTCCATTGATCTATATGTCTGTTTTTGTGCCAGTACCACACTGTCTTGATGAACACAGCTTTGTAGTACAACCTGAAATCTGGCATTGTGGTGCCCCAGATATGGTTTTCTTTTTTTAAAATTCCCCTGGCTGTTTGGGGTCTTTTCTGATTCCACACAAATCTTAAAATAATTTGTTCTAAGTCTCTGAAGAAAGTCCATGGTATTTTGATAGGGATTGCATTATACGTGTAAATTGCCCTGGGTAACATTGACATTTTCACAATATTAATTCTGCCAATCCATGAGCATGGAATATTTTTCCATCTCTTTGTGTCTTCCTCAATTTCTTTCAGAAGTGTTCTGTAGTTTTTAGGGTATATTTTGAGAACCATTTGAATGGTAAATGGTTCTCCAACCTTTTATTTTCAGGTTGTAGGTGTCCTTCTGTCTAAAATGAGTCTCTTGTAGACAGCAAATAGATGGGTCCTGCTTTTTTATCCAGTCTGAAACCCTGCGCCTTTTGATGGGGTCATTAAGCCCATTCACGTTCAGAGTTACTTGAACTTCTTCTTAAAGGGGAGTTTTAAGAGTCCCCCTTAAAATTTCTTGCAGAGCTGGTTTGGAGGTCACATATTCTTTCAGTTCCTGCCTGTCTTGGAAGCTCTTTATCTCTCCTTCCATTTTGAATGAGAGCCTTGCTGGATAAAGTATTCTTGGTTGCATGTTCTTCTCATTTAGGACCCTGAATATATCCTGCCAGCCCTTTCTGGCCTGCCACGTCTCTGTGGAGAGGTCTGCTGTTACCCTAATATTCCTCCCCATGAAAGTCAGGGACTTCTTGTCTCTTGCTGCTTTAAGGATCTTCTCTTTATCTTTGGAATTTGCAAGCTTCACTATTAGATGTCGAGGTGTTGAACGGTTTTTATTGATTTTAGGGGGGGATCTCTCTATTTCCTGGATCTGAATGCCTGTTTCCCTTCCCAGATTGGGAAAGTTTTCAGCTAGGATTTGTTCAAATACATATTCTGGCCCTCTGTCCCTTTCGGCGCCCTCGGGAACCCCAATTAAACGTAGGTTTTTCTTCCTCAGACTGTCATTTATTTGCCTTAATCTGTCTTCATGGTCCCTTAATTGTCTGTCTCTTTTTTCCTCAGTTTCCCTCTTTGCCATTAACTTGTCTTCTATGTCACTCACTCGTTCTTCCACCTCGTTAACCCTCGTCGTTAGGACTTCTAGTTTGGATTGCATCTCATTCAATTGATTTTTAATTTCTGCCTGATTGGATCTAAATTCTGCAGTCATGAAGTCTCGTGAGGCCTTAATGCTTTTTTCTAGAGCCACCAGTAGCTGTATAATGGTGCTTCTGAATTGGCTTTCTGACATTGAAGTGTAATCCAGATTTTGTAACTCTGTGGGAAAGAGGGCTGTTTCTGATTCTTTCTTTTGAAGTGAGGTTTTCCTTCTAGTCATTTTGCTCAGTGCAGAGTGGCCAAAAACAAGTTGTATTGGAACACGGGGGAGTATCACTGGTCCGTCTAGCTGGTCTTCTGGGGGAGGGGCCTGCTGTGCTGATTTTCAGGTGTCAGCACTTGGGGGAGCTGCTCTGCCCCTGCCTGCTGCAGGGCTCAGCGGGGGTTGTTTACCCAGTGGGGCCCCAGGAGGAACAGCAGCAGTTGCTATGGCAACTCTGGAAGCCTGGATTCAGCCTCTGCAGGAACTACGGGGCTCGGGGCTCTCGGCTCTCTGTCCGCAGGGCCTGGAGGCTCCGGGGCGGGGCCGCTGATGTGCTCAGCTCGGGGCAGGAGCGTCCTTGCTGTCCTGGGCCCTCCCGGCCTCTGCCTGTCCCAGGGGGAGGCCGGATCCTGGGCTGTGTCCCGGCGCCCTGTGCTCCGGGGCCTGCGCTGTGGGATTCGCGCTCCCGCCCCGCAGCTCCCTCCCTGGAGCCGCTCCCGAGCCCTCGAGCTGCTCCGGTCCCGCGTGCGCGCTGCAGCCCTTAGGGAGCTCGGCGCACTCTCCCGGGGCGCAGGTGTCTGTTAGTGTCCCCGGGAGCCCGAGGGCATCCCCGCTCTCCTGGGTCCTGCTCCAACTCCCTGCGAGCCCCTTTCCGCCCGCCGGGAAGGTTGGTGCAGCTCCTGCTTCTCCGGGACGGGGCTCTCCTGTCCTGGGGACACTCGCCCCGGCCTCAGCCCGGCTCCTCGCGGTGCCCCTCCCCCTCGGAGGCCTTTTGTTTCTTTATTTCTTTTTCCCCGTCTTCCTACCTTGATAGAAGCGCGAACTCTTCTCACTGTAGCGTTCCAGCTGGTCTCTCTTTACATCTCAGGCTGAATTCGTAGATTTTCAGGATGGTTTGAAGGTTATCTAGGTAACTTGGTGGGGACAGGTGATTTGGGGACCCTGCTCTTCCGCCATCTTGCCCCTCCCTCTGTCACAAGCCCTTTAAGAAGATACAACAGTTATCTGTTATGTTGTGTGTGTATGTATACATATATATATTGATATTTATGTGGTATGTGAATAAGTAAATACATATATACATATAAAAATAAGTATATACATACGTGTGATCATGTGACTAGTAAACAGCACTTGTCTGGATTATTTTTATGGGTGACATGAGATTTCATTTTATATTGGGAATTTAACTCATTCACATTTATTGTGGTCACTGATGATGTTTAGTTTTAGTTCCTCTATCTTTATTTGTATTTTATTTATCCCATCTTCTTTCCTTTCTTTAATTATTCTCTTTCAATTATATATTTCTCCCTTCCAGTGGTTTGAAAATTCAGTAGTCTACTTTTTTCCATTGGTTCTCCTGGAAACAGTTAGCATAGTTTATATTTGTACTTTTTCTGTAAGCATCAAGAATTTTTATTTTCTGGACAGACCTTTTCATGTTTTACTTTCCCTTTCTTCCGTATCTCATGTTCTATAGAAGTGATTGGAATTGTTTTTTAATATGATAAAAATTTTAAAATCCTGTATTAACAGGTGCAGTGTGTAGACATGACTAAGCTATCTGGTTATTCTCTGTAATTTCCAGCCTCCAGAACTGTGAGAAAATAAATTTCTTTTGTTTAAGCCATCCAGCATGTGGTAGTTTATTAGAGTAGTTTAATAGGTAGTTTAATAAAGTCTCATTATTATTATGGGAGCCTTAGCAAACTAATAACAATTCTATTTTTAATTTTTTGAGGACACACCATACTGTTTTCTGTATAGCTGTTCCATTTTCTGTTCCCACCAATGTGCACTAGCGTTCCAGTTTTTCCACAGCCTCACCAATGCTTTTGTTTGCTCATAGGTGTGAGGTGAAGTAATGTTCTTTTGAGTACTTTCATCTCCAGTGTCTTTAAAACTCATGGAATCATAATAATTATATAGTTTGTTTTCTTCATACTTTCTCACTTTATCTGGTGCGTGTCTTTTGTTTTACTGGTTCTAAATTTCTAGTGAACCTTCATTGTCTCTTTATATGTGAAGATTTGGTTTGATTCATGTAGGTAGCTATTGTGAGTTTATTCAGAAATGTAGAATGCTGTTCCTTTATGTTTTCTTTCCTCGGTGAAAGAACTGCAAGATTTGTAAAGGAAATTGTTAGAAAGATAAAACCTGGTGAATTTCCTTTCAAGTTATCAGCAGAGAGTATATAGGCAACTTTAAGGGATTATTGATTTGTGAAGTGGAGATTTCCTATACTATAGAGTTAAACCATCATGATCTGTCTCCTCAGAAACCTGTCTTAAAACAAAGTCAGTATTCATTTTCTTTCTGGCTGATTGGCCATTGCCAGAGACCCTGAAGCATTTACCTAAAATATTTTTTTAAATCTGGTTTATCCTTCAGCCATCAGCTGTGTTTATACAGAGTGGCAAATGCCCAGAGTGTCTGACAATACTTTAGTTAATTCCTTAGCCAATCAATCAGCGCACTGCCCACTTTGAACTTCGATGAATTTGGTGGCTATATGTACTATATACTGAATGTATGCAGACACATACATGGGACCCGTAGGCAGTTCTTACTTTGCACTATAGTGTGGGGCTATAAAAATAGGCATGTACACTGAAAACATACAAAGCAATCTTAATCATTGGGGTAGTTCTGCAATCTTTAAAAATATTTGTTAAAACATTAAAAATCTATTAATGATACATATGTATACATATTTTATGTATATATTATACATATATATATAAATTTAAAAATACTGTAACTAATATTTAGTACTGAGTACCTCTTCATTAAGATTTTTTGGTTGTAGATCTAGAGTGTCTCAAATTGAAGCAATATCAACATCCCCACAGTAAGGTGTTTCTTCTAAAACTCCATTTATATTTAATTTGAGTTTCGCTTCTACCATAATCACTTCTCATTTCTTTGCTGCTTTTTCATTTTTGTTGGCCAGTTCTCTTTTGCAAACCATTTAACCATTTTTGCAAAATGCCATATTGCTAGGAGACAAGAAGGGGACATATGTTTTGTTGTTTGTGTGCGGACTGAGTAATAGATAAGCAGTGCTCAGTTACTGGCAGACTTTGAAAAAAATGACACAATTGATCATTGTTCATGTTTGTTATTTATGTAGTGATTTGTGGATTGAAGAGCATGCAGCAAAGTTTGTACTTTATGTGATTACCCACAGATACCATAGTAACTGAAATCTGATTGTATTGTTGGGGGACTGTTGTTACTTAAGTAAATAAATTGTGGTAATTGAAATTCATGCATGTCAGGACTATGCAAAATATGGACTACCTGTAGAGAGAAACAATCAGACATATCAATACATTGCCACAAATTTGTGCCAATTTGATGCTTAAAAGTTTTCCTCCCTTGAAGGGTGAGTCATCAAATACTTTGGAGAACTCTTATCTAAATGAAAAATGCCAAAATTACCAGAGATTAGAGCATTTTGTACCAGTAAAGTCCCAAATTCAGTTCTCTCTTGATCTTATGCTATCATTTAATCCAGTTTGCATACATACTAGATTGTAAGCTTCCTGAAAGTAGAAACAATGTTTTATGTATTTATGTATTTTAATGTCCACAGAAACCAGGACACTTTCATGTTTATAGCATTATTATTATTATTATTTTAGTTTTTTTATTTATCTACAATAGTCACACACACACACACACACACAGAGAGGCAGAGACATAGGCAGAGGGAGAAGCAGGCTCCATGCACCGGGAGCCTGACGTGGGATTTGATCCCGGGTCTCCAGGATCACGCCCCAGGCCAAAGGCAGGCGCCAAACCTCTGCGCCACCCAGGGATCCCAATAGCATTTTTTATGCTTGTGTGTGTCTGTATGTGTTTACTATTATTATTATTATTATTACAGTTCTCATTCTCCCACCACATATAAAACAAAAGAGGGACTGTGGTAAGTCTCCTGTAAAAACTTTTTCTAATAAACTCAGTAGTAAACATGGTAAAGAATTGGTTCCTAAATATATTTCTTCTGTCATGTAGTTTTGACTACTTTTGATTGATCAGATACATGTCTTCCAGGGATCAATTTCATTTGAGGATGTGATTGTGAACTTTACCAAGGAGGAGTGGAGTCATTTGGACCCTGATCTGAGGACCTTGTACAGGGATGTGATGTTGGAGAACTATAGTATCTTCATCTCACTGGGTAAGCAAAGCTTTTCTGAGTAACATCAGACTTGTCCTTTTGCTGTTACCAAAGCATGTGGACCTTTTGTAGAGTTTAATGATCCTTAGGTGTGGACACCAGGAATATTGTTTGTTTTCTCAAATACCCATTGAAAGATTCCAGTGAGGGGCAGCCCTGGTGGCGCAGCGGTTTAGCGCCGCCTGCAGCCCAGGGCATGATCCTGGAGACCCCGGCTCGAGTCCCATGTCGGGCTTCCTGTATGGAGCCCACTTTTCCCTCTGCCTGTGTGTCTGCCTGTCCCCACCCCGCCACCCCCCCACCCCCGTCTCTGAACAAATAAATAAATAAATCTTTTAAAAAAAAAAAGAAAAGAAAAGAAAAGAAAGATTCCAGTGGGTCCCTTCACTTCATTTGCAGCTCCTGAAGCTGGACCTTGGTTTTTCTTCTGAGTTCCTAAAGCCAGGCAGCTTTTCATATGTCCTTTATAATTTTTCATTAGCAGGACATTGCATTACCAAACCAGAGGAGATCTTCAAGTTAGAGCAAGAAGCACCATGGGTGTTAGAGAAAGAATTTGCAAGCCAGTGTTACCCAAGTGAGTAATCCAGAGGAAATTAGATCCCAGGTGGTTTCAGGAATATGCATCTTTGGAGTGTTTTTAAGAATCCTTTTTAAGAGTCTCTGTTTGGAAGTGACTAAGGATAATGAGACTGTATACCTAAATTCACCACAGATACATTGTCACACATGTATGTTCTCTTTTCTTGCTTGGCTTTTTAAGAGTTTACTCCCTTTTATTTGTACCTTGAAATTCATTCCTGTGTCATAATAAATATTTTATGTTGGTCAGTCTCCTTCTTTTGCATTCTTAGCTTCATATTCCTTTCCATTATTCCTAATTTTCCATATTCCATTCCATATTCAATTTTCCATATTCCATTCCATTATTCCTAATTTTCAAGGACTTCTTTTCAGAAATTAATAAATTAGTTTAACCAGTATTAATTGAACATTTGCTCCCCATGCCACTCATGTTTTAAATGAAAGAGATGGAGCAGTGGTGAAATAAGTTCTTTTATCTTATGGAATTCGTATTAACTGGAGAGAGAGGCAGGAAGCAGATTGCCATGAAAGTACAGAGTAGAAGGAATGGGACTAGTTAGGAAGAATGACACCCCAAAGACTAGGTTTGAGGTAACAGAGTGTGCAAAGTGATAGAATTCTGGCTATTTGTTGAAGGTAGGATTAACAAAATCAGCACCTAGACACTAATTCATCTCTGAACACTTCATTCCTCTAATAGTTTTTTTGAGCAACAATCTTGTGTACCTGTTTTCCATGGCACATTTACTCTATAATTTTTTTATTGAGCATATCTTACTGTGAATTCCACACATTGTTATTCATCCACTCTTATTGAATCCTTTATTTTCTGTTCATTTGTGGATTATGTTTATTTTCCCCCTTCTATCCATTTTGAAATGTATATTCATGAAGGGCCCAATAAATATGTGTGCATTCATTGCCAATTTTACTTTCCCCTTGTCCACCACAATAGCTTAATAGCTTTGGTTGGTTGGTTGGTTGTCACCTCCTTCTCCCAGCTGCTCAGAAAAGTAGAGGGAATGGAACATACTGATTTGGTATTACTTTTATCCCAAACGACTGGCTCTGAAACCAGAGAGCTGGGTATATAAAGGGTATTTGTATATTAAACCAATTTTATTAGAAGTAGTTTCAGGGATCCCTGGGTGGTGCAGCGGTTTGGCGCCTGCCTTTGGCCCAGGGCGCGATCCTGGAGACCCAGGATCGAATCCCACGTCAGGCTCCCGGTGCATGGAGCCTGCTTCTCCCTCTGCCTGTGTCTCTGCCTCTCTCTCTCTCTCTCTGTGTGACTATCATAAATAAATAAAAATTAAAAAAAAAGAAGTAGTTTCAGATTCATAAGGTATGTTTTTCTTATTTCTAGAAGAATTGAAAGTTGATGGCATGATAGCAAAGAAAATCAAGACAGACATTTATGGCAAGATGCATTTTTCAATAACAAGAAAGTAATTACAGAGAGAGAATGTATTAAGGAAAACATTTATTTTTTTTATTTTATAAATTAATTTTTATTGGTGTTCAATTTACCAACATACAGAATAACACCCAGTGCTCATCCCGTCAAGTGTTCCCCTCCGTGCCCGTCACCCATTCACCCCCACCCCCCGCCCTCCTCCCCTTCCACCACCCCTAGTTCATTTCCCAGAGTTAGAAGTCTTTATGTTCTGTCTCCCTTTCTGATATTTCTCACACATTTCTTCTCCCTTCCCTTATATTCCCTTTCACTATTATTCATATTCCCCAAATGAATGAGAACATACACTGTTTGTCCTTCTCCGGTTACTGTGGCCAAGTTCAAAAAGGGTGTTGCCTGAGTTCTCCTCTGGGATTTTGATGGAATCTTGTCTCACATTTAGATCTTTCATCTATTTTGAGTTTATCTTTGTGTATGGTGCAAGAGAGTGGTCTAGTTTCATTCTTCTGCATGTGGATGTCCAATTTTCCCAGCACCATTTATTGAAGAGACTGTCTTTCTTCCAGTGGATCGTCTTTCCTCCTTTATCGAATATTAGTTGACCATAAAGTTCAGGGTCCACTTCTGGGTTCTCTATTCTGTTCCATTGATCTATGTGTCTGTTTTTGTGCCAGTACCACACTGTCTTGATGACCACAGCTTTGTAGTACAACCTGAAATCTGGCATTGTGATGCCCCCAGCTATGGTTTTCTTTTTTAAAATTCCCCTGGCTGTTTGGGGTCTTTTCTGATTCCACACAAATCTTAAAATAATTTGTTCTAAGTCTCTGAAGAAAGTCCATGGTATTTTGATAGGGATTGCATTATACGTGTAAATTGCCCTGGGTAACATTGACATTTTCACAATATTAATTCTGCCAATCCATGAGCATGGAATATTTTTCCATCTCTTTGTGTCTTCCTCAATTTCTTTCAGAAGTGTTCTGTAGTTTTTAGGGTATATTTTGAGAACCATTTGAATGGTAAATGGTTCTCCAACCTTTTATTTTCAGGTTGTAGGTGTCCTTCTGTCTAAAATGAGTCTCTTGTAGACAGCAAATAGATGGGTCCTGCTTTTTTATCCAGTCTGAAACCCTGCGCCTTTTGATGGGGTCATTAAGGCCATTCACGTTCAGAGTTACTATTGACAGATATGAGTTTAGTGTCATCATGATACCTATTTAGTCCTTGTTTTTGTGGATTGTTCCACTGAACTTCTTCTTAAAGGGGAGTTTTAAGAGTCCCCCTTAAAATTTCTTGCAGAGCTGGTTTGGAGGTCACATATTCTTTCAGTTCCTGCCTGTCTTGGAAGCTCTTTATCTCTCCTTCCATTTTGAATGAGAGCCTTGCTGGATAAAGTATTCTTGGTTGCATGTTCTTCTTATTTAGGACCCTGAATATATCCTGCCAGCCCTTTCTGGCCTGCCACGTCTCTGTGGAGAGGTCTGCTGTTACCCTAATATTCCTCCCCATGAAAGTCAGGGACTTCTTGTCTCTTGCTGCTTTAAGGATCTTCTCTTTATCTTTGGAATTTGCAAGCTTCACTATTAGATGTCGAGGTGTTGAACGGTTTTTATTGATTTTAGGGGGGGATCTCTCTATTTCCTGGATCTGAATGCCTGTTTCCCTTCCCAGATTGGGAAAGTTTTCAGCTAGGATTTGTTCAAATACATATTCTGGCCCTCTGTCCCTTTCGGCGCCCTCGGGAACCCCAATTAAGCGTAGGTTTTTCTTAAGGAAAACATTTAATTTGTACATAGACTCTATTTCTTCTAGAAAAATCTCCGGTAAATATAATATAGATGGAATCAGTTTAGAAAATATGTCAGAGTTAACCACTAATAATAGAAACTATTCAGGAAAGAAATCTGATGATGCCAGTGGGTATGAGAAATTGCTTTCTGATATTATTAATCATGAGAAAACTCATACTAGTGAGAAGTTTAATGAAATTAAGAAAAATGAGAGCATCTTCTATCATAATGAGGATTTTATTCAACAACAAAAGATTCACACTGTGGAGCAACTGTTTGAATATAATGAATGCATTAAAGCCTTCCACAGTAATGCTCTCTTCATTACACATAAGGGAACTCACACAGGAGAAAAATCATGTGATTATAATGAATGTGAGAAAATTTTCAGGTATGAGTCAAACCTCATGTTACATCAGGTAATTTACTCAAGGAAGAATCACTATACATTTAATGGATGTGGGGTAACCTGTGATAAGTCAGTCCTTTGGAAGAAACGTCCTAGAATTCATATGAGTGAGAAATACCATGAGTGTGATGTATGTGGGAAAACCTTCCTCCGAAAATCAAATCTCACAGTACATCACAGAACGCATATAGGTGAAAAACCCTATAAATGTAATGAATGTGGGAAACCCTTTTACCATAAGCCAGCCCTCACTGTACATCAAAGAATTCATACAGGAGAGAGACTGTATGAATGTGGGAAATGTGGGAAAACTTTCTACCAGAACTCAGCTCTCTGTCAGCATCAAAGAACACACACAGGGGAGAAGCCTTACAAACGTAGTGAATGTGGAAAATCTTTCTCCCAAAAGTCAGACCTGACTGTGCATCAGAGATCTCACACAGGAGAAAAACCTTATAAATGTAATGAATGTGACAAATCCTTTAGTATAAAGTCAAAACTCACTGTACACCAGAGAATACACTCAGAGGAGAAGCCCTATGAGTGTAGTGAATGTGGGAAAATGTATTACATGAAGTCAACCCTCAGTAAACATCAAAGACTTCACATAGGGGAGAAAATAAAGGAATGCAGTGAATGTAGGAAGACCTTCTGTGGGAAATCAATTCTCCTTAAACATCAGAGAACTCATACAGGGGAGAAACCTTATGAATGTGTAGAATGTAAGAAAACCTTTTCTGAGAAGTCCACTCTCAGTAAACATCATAGGATTCATACTGGGGAGAAACCCTTTGAATGTAACAAATGTGGGAAGGCATTCTGCCAAAAGTCCCAACTCATTCAACATCAGAGAATTCATACAGGGGAGAAACCCTATGAATGTAAAGAATTTAAGAGAACATTTTGCCAGAAGGCATCCCTCAATGTACATCAGAGAACACACACAGGAGAGAAGCCCTATCAATGTAACGAATGTGGAAAATCTTTTTATGATAGTTCGACCCTCATTAAGCATATGAGGATTCATTCAGGGGAGAAACCCTATAAATGTAATGAATGTGGGAAGACCTTCAGCCACAAACCAACTCTTGCCACACATCAGAGAACACACACAGAAGAGAAGCACTGTAAAGATGGATGGTGAAACTGTTGCTGTAACTCAGAACTTTTGGCCTGACAGTATACCTAGGGAAGTAACCCTATGGTTGTAATGAATGTAGGAAGAACTACCAGAAGTCAGCCTTCAGTTTACATCATAGAACTCATACAGGACAGATACCTGGCAATGTTTTTACCAAACTGGTCACAGAACAAGTCGTTCTCACCTGCTGATGCACCTGCTCTTGCATCCAGGTAGATGAGATGCATGATGATGTGCATGAGAACGGGCCAATGGGATGTGAGTATAATGATGTAATTCTCTTCTGGTCTGACATATAATGGCCTCCATGTCAGTTCTTTATAGTCTCTGTTCTCTTTGGGGGTAGGATATAGAATTCCTTCTGTCAAGGGGTCAGCACTCACTGTATGTTGGTGAAGTCACACAAGAGTAGAAATTTCTGTCAACATCTTGGTGTTTCAAAACCTAATCCACAAATGAAACTGCCTGTAGCTGGAGAAATCAGAGTTAAGAAATCTTGAGATTGCAACAAATTTAGAAAAGCCTTTACAAGAAGGCTTGTATCTTGTTCAATTATCTCATTGAACCTCAGGTAAATAATAAACTAAAACCTTATAAGCACATGGTTTTCTGAAAGCTTTCAGAAACAAAAACATACTTTGTTGAAACAAAGGTGAAACAAAACATACTTTGTGGTATTTCAGAGAATGATTACTGAGGGAAACCGAATTTAGAAAATACATTTAAGTTGTAACATAGGAAATACAGAGCCCAAGTATACATTTTTCACTTCTAGCACAAGTCTGAATTTAAGAAACTGCTGTGAACAGAAAGCTAATTGTACTTACCACCATAAAATGTATTCATTAAGAAGCCCCATCATTGAATATCCTGAAATGTTTAATTGGGGTATCTAAGTAGGTTTGAGTGTGCCAAACCCAACTTAGTTGTAAGTTGGGAACTGTTTGTATATAACATGCCATATGTTGTTCTTTGCCTTCCTAGTATTGGCAACCATGATATGATGTTAGCAAACATTTTCTGTGAAAGGCTAAATAGTAAATACGTTAACCTTAGAGGTTACATATGCTTTCTGTCACTTTTTTTTCTTTTTTTTTTTTACAACCTGTTAAAAATGTAAAAAGTCATTCTTAGCTCATGGATCATTGAAAAACAGACTTGGCCAGATTTAGCTTGTAGGCCAAGTTTGTGAGCCCCTGATATCATGGTTAAAAGCAAGGACTCTGGAACTTTATTTCCTAGGCTCAAGTCCCAGTTCTGTTGCACATTAGCCATGTGGCCTGGGATAAATCCCTTAACATTTGTTCCTCAGTTTCCTTATTTGCAAAATGATGATCCTGACATTATACTACTACACGGAGTTCTAGTAAGGACCAGGTAAGTTAATAAATATAAAAGTATTAAACCACTGTATAGAATACTACAAGTGTTAGCTATTCTGTGACTAGCAATGGATTTGTTGGAGCTTTTACAGGCTTTTGATTACCTACTCAACAGCTGTCCCTCACTCCATGCTAGTAGACCAGTTGTTTTTGTTTCATTGTCCATCTTCTGTATAATTCAGGAAATGAATAATTGATCTAACCTGATTTTTCCAGCTTATTGAAGTATAACTGACAAAATTATAAGATATTTAATATGTATAATGTGATGATTCAAGTGTACATGTAAAAAGATGCCCCTGTCAAGTTAATTAACTAACCATCATTTCACATATTTACTAACCTCATTCCTCTTTTTTGGTGAAAACATTTACATTTTAGTCTTAGCAAATTTCAGTTATATAATACAGTGTTATTAACTCCAGTTACCATGTTATACATTTGGTCCTCATGGTCTAACCTAATTTTGAAAAATGTGTCCTGATTAATGATTCATTTGAAATATGCATCGGACCCAGCTGTGGCCAGTGAAAAACTCTGAAGAATATTCAGTGAAATACAGGGAAACAGGATTCCCAGGGGCTAACAAACATTTGATTAAAAAAAAAAAGAAGCCCTTGATTTTGCTGGATGTTTTTATGTTTGGATACGATATCTGATTGCATTTTTGATCCTAAGGTAGTATCTGGGGATGGGAGAACACAAAGCTGGGAAGACGTTGGGTCAGCAGTGTCTTTTGAGCAGGTGAATCAACCCCCCTCACACGGGGCTTCTATATATGAGATCTATTTTTTTCTAATTATACCATTTGAGTTGGGATTTTCTATTTATTTTATTTTAATTTATTCATGAGAGACACAGAGAGGCAGAGACACAGGCAGAGGGAGAAGCAGGCTCCCCATGAGGAGCCTGATGTGGGACTGGATCTCAGGACCCCGGGATCACGACTTGAGCCAAAGGCAGACTCTCAACCACTGAGCCACCCAGGTGCCTGGGATTTTCTGTTTCTTAGAGCTAACGGTGGTTTAACCAACTTACATGTATATCTTTTTGAAAAGGTGTTAATTCAGAAATACTAACATTCCTCAGCCTCAGGAGAGGATATGTTCTCATGAGTAACTGATTCAGAGGTGACTGTTTTTCAGTCCTGTAAATCTCCATGATGAATTCCACTAGAAATAAAGCTATTTGCTAATCCATTATATGAAACAAGTGTCTAATTCATTGAGCTTTCGTTGCATCTAAGCAAGAAAAAGCATTTAGAAAATAATTAGCTCATGTAGGTCTTATATTTAAAATAGGTGAAATAAACACTAAGTTAAATTGTCCATTGATCTGTCTCAATGTTATTGCCTGATTAGGTAAGGTGTGAGATGGATCTAATGTTTTCCCAAATGAATAAACAGTTCTCAACACTATGATTGAAGTTTGAACTACCATCTTTATCAGGTGCTAAGTTATCATTTGTAGGGAGTATTTTTGCTCAGGGATCCATCCCTTTATTTTTTTTTTAATAACTAGCTTGCCCTCATGACATAGCAACTAGTAGATCTCCCAAAGATTCCACATCTTCTTGCCTTCACATTTACTCCTGGGGAAAACATTTGATCCAATTGGGCCAATAAGAGGCCTACCTGGGACTTTGTAAAAGGAGAACATCATGTTCTGTGGATTGGTGACCACGGGACTCCTCACAGCCAGGAGAAAGTGTCTGCATGAAGGAAAATAGTTAACGTGGAGAGGAACATTTAAGAGAGAGAGACAGGGCAGCCCAGGTGGCTCAGTGGTTTAGCGCTGCCTTCAGCCCAGGGCCTGATCCTGGAGACCCAGGATCGAGTCCCACATCGGGCTCCCTGCATGGAGCCTGCTTCTCCCTCTGCCTGTCTCTGCCCTCCCCCCTCCATGAATAAATAAATAAATAAAATCTTTAAAAAAAAATAAGAGACAGAATCTTGATGTTGCCCAAGACCAGTCAGTCCTGGACTCCCTTTTTCTACGTGTTCCAAAGATATACACTGTCATGTTCTTCTGGTTTCATTATTAAACCAACACGTGTTAACATCCTTTATGTACCATGATCAGTTTGATTCTGTTTCACTAAATTCTCTATTTATGCTTATGCCAAAGGTAACATATTAATTAGTATGGCTTCCTAATACTTTTTATTATAGAGCAAGTCCTTTCACCCATAATTATACAATTAATCTTCAGCAAAGGAGGAAAGATTGTGCAATGGGGAAAAGACAGCCTTTGCTGAAATAAGGGTTAGTGAGGTACATAATTTTACATAAAATAAAATTCACCATTTTAAAAGTGTACTCTTTGATGAGTTTTGGCAAATATATGTGATTGTGTAACTACCACCATGCTCAAGACACATCTGGCAGCCACTGATCTGTTTTATGCCCCTACAGGTTTACCTTTCCTAAAAGATCATATGAGTGGAATTGTAGATTATGTATGCAATCTTTTATGTCTGTATAAAAACTTTTGAGATTCATCCATGTTCTTGCATGCATCAGTAGATTGGACTATTACTCAGCAATACAAATAAACATTGTATGGACTGTTTATCCATTCACCTGTTGAAGGTCATATGATATATTTTCAACTTCAGTCTATTATGAATAAGCCTCCTATGAACATTTCCTTAAATCTTTTTGTGGACACAGACTTTCATTTATCTTGTGTAAATACCTATGAGTAATGTCATTGGATCATATAATCAATAACTGTATGTTCAGTATTTGCTTATTTCATTCCAATTTCAGAGATAAAAAAGTTATGGAACCACTGTGTCCTGGTTAGGATTAATTAAAAAGATCACACCTGAATATATCCTAGTAAAAATTTTGAACTTCAAGATCAGAAGTCTTCAAAGCTTCCAATCAAGGAAAATCAGTCACTTACAAGGAATGATGAATCATAGTGGTGTTTGATTTCAAAATCAGTAGGAATACTACAACATTTAAAGATATATGGCAGAAATGGACTATATGTGAGTGACTCAATAACTGTTCAAAAGTGCCTGTAGGAAGGGAAAAGATTTGGAAAGAGTACTTTAAAAATGTAAATTTCAGAGGAACTATCTGAGTAAGCTGTTGTATAGAGCCCAATTAAGTTATATCAAAAACATTAATAGGGAGAAATTGCAAGAGAAAATGAATGTAGTAAAAATTGTAGATCTCAAAGGATGATACTAATGATTGCATTATATTTGTATATAAGTGTTAAATTTATGAAATAGAATTTAAGGTGTATGTATTAGGATTTTTGTTGCATGCAGCTCATTTGAACAGAACAAGAGCTTAGTTTACAGATAGAGAAATTGGAATAAATACTGTGGTGTTGGCATTGTTAACCAACACGAATTTATGGCTTCCAGTATTAATAGATAAATATAAATATACAAAAGTGCATATGGGGAGTGTACAAACACACATTTCTTGGCTCTGTAGAGCTAAGTAGAGATGGTACACACACACACACACACACACACACACAAAAACCCAGTAGAAATAGACATGGCTAGTTCCTACATTTTGGTTTCTTCCTTCCTTCCTTCCTTCCTTCCTTCCTTCCTTCCTTCCTTCCTCCTTCCTTCCTTCCTTTTTCTTTCTTTCTTTCTTTCTTTCTTTCTTTCTTTCTTTCTTTCTTTCTTCTCTCTCTCTCTCTCTCTCTCTCTCTCTCTCTCTTTTTAACATTTTGGTTTCTAAATCCATTCTTCACCAAAAGGAACTAGAGAGTTCTTAAAGAAATAGCTGATTCCAGGAGTGGGTCAGGGAAATTACAAGATGAGTCTGAACATT